CGGTAAGGGAAGTCGAGAAGCACCTCGAAGGCATGGGGCTCGTCTGCGCTCCAAAAAAGTCGGAGATCCGGCTCCACAGACCTCGGAAACCGGGATGTCCCTCGAGGAACGTGGCCAAGGTCCGTCAGACGGGTGTGTGTGTCACGACAAAAAAAAAAAGAGTCCAAAAACCTAGGGTGTCCAAGGTACGAGTCCTCGGCCTCTGGCTGGAAGAAAACAGTGCCAATTCCGAGCTGGTCACCCAGCTGCAGAAGAAAGTGGCAGTCGCCACGAACCTGATACGAAGAATCACAAACAAGATGAAAGCAATGAAAGAGCACAATCTAGTGAGACTAATACAGGTGTATGCTTTAAGCCACATCACGTACGCTGCTGCTTACGTCAATTGGAGTACAAGCGAAAGCGACAAGCTGGACACGATCAACCTCAGGGCTTACAAAACTGCATTAGGCGTATCTCACTACAATGCCAACTGCAGGCTCTTTGAGCTGGGCGTGCACAACACGCTTGCCGAAATCATCAAGGCTAAGAAGATTGAGCAGCTCAAATGATTTTCGGAGACCAAGACCGGAAGAACTATCCTCGACTCCCTCGAGATTCATTACCATGGGAGGCGGGGACTGAAGGATGCGTTATTGCCTGCGGTCAAAAATGCTATATTCACAGAGAATATGCCCAGAAACAAGCACTTAGCGCACGATGCCGAAAGGCGCAGATCCAGAGCGGAGGCGATCCTCAAAGAGCACGGCAGCTGAGAGGGTGCCTGCCCTTTTCGTCGACGCTGCTATGTTATATACCCCCGGCCCGACCGAGGACAACAGAAGAACGAACGAGAGCAAGAGCGACGCCAATCTACACCTGCCTTTTCCATGGCGGTGGTCGACACAAGGAAACGAACTCTCGTGACGGGATCTGCGAGGCTCCCATCGTCTGAGGCGGCAAAAGAAATGGCCATAGCCCTCGCAATAATTCATAGTGGAAACAAGGACTCTCTTATACCTAGTTTACACTGAAACATCCGCTGTTTACAGCGACCGAAATTTCCCTGGCACCGAAACGCAGCGTCGTTTGTACTGGACGCACCCCGCGCCGCCGAATATGCCATCTACCACGGGGCGAGCGCGGGATGGATGCGCTGTCACCCGGTTGTTGTCGCGGCTCGCAAACGCCACTACGCTATCCGGTGGCGTATACTTCGATGATTCTCGTACGCAGGAAGCAAGAAAAAACAGTACGGCTTACTTTGCTGGCAAGTGGCTGTCTTGTAATGATCGAAGAGCATAAAAAAATTGCCCGCAGCTTCCCTCGGGGGAACACTGAGGAGGATGCGGAGCATATAACGGGGTGTTAAAGTGCGACTTACTTGGGTCGATGGCTAAATTGGTTAACGTGGTTGTGAAATGGGGTGTTAAATTGCGACTTACTTGGGTCGATGGCTAAATTGGTTAACGTGGTTGTAGGAGGAGGTGTTAAATGAGTCAACACGTACACACGTATGCGAAAGGGCGGCGCTGGTCGAAGGGACGTCGATCATTGTGTTTGTGGATTCGTTGGAATTCATTTCACCGCGACCTTGGACGTCGACGCGCCGTACACACCAACCGACGAGCGGCAACTGAGCGAGCGAGCGCCGACCTTGAGTATATATACAGCGCGACGGCGCATGCAATGTCAGCTGTCGAACGTTCGAGAAGAGGGAGAAGCGCAACGGCGCATGCGCGCGCGTCAGTTGCCGATGTTCTCGAAGCGTGACGGCGCATGCGCGCTACATTATACAGCTAGCGAATGTTCGTGAAGAGGAGAAGCGCACGCGGTGTGTAGAGGAGGAAGGGTGCACAGATGGTGGAGGAGTGAAGCGCGCGCGGTGTGTAGAGGAGGAAGGGATGCACAGATGGTGGAAGAAGGAGGAGGAAGCTTGCGGACGGCGCCGCACTCCAAGCCTCGAATATTAGATGCTCCGCATCTAAAAAACCACCGATGCCAGCGGCGTTGGTGGGTTCGTTTTGCTCTGCAAGACCGCAACAAGCTCGGTAACGCCAACAGCAAGCTCGGTCACCTCTTCAACGAAATACGGATGGGAAGTAGGCACAGAGTAGGTTGAACTCCCATTGGTTTCAACATTCAGTTACGTGCACTGCGGTATAAAAAGTGAGTAGGGCTTGGCCGCCATTTTCCCAAATTCCTTGATTAGCACTCCTATTAGTCCGCGGTGACCGATTCGGCGGCAGACGCCCCGAAAATTGGTCCGAGAGTGATCAGCGCGGAGAGGGCCCTTTCGGCAAATTTTGCCTGCTGCCGAACCGGATTCGGAGCACTTTCGGCGGCCGGAATGCTCAGTGTGAACGCGGCCTTATCGTGAGTGACGCCAAGACGGCAGTTCGAAACTGTACGAAGGAATGGGTCTCTGTCGAGGCGGCGCACATTGATAAACACCACGAGCCAAAGATTTCTAGTCTGGTGCGATTGCTACCAAGTCTCTAAAGTGGTTTCCCACGCACGTGGGAGACCTTGGCAGCCACTAAAGATCTGACTTCCCGTCAAACCACAATGAGCGCGCGCACTTCGTCGCGGGACTGCTAACCTGCTGCGATGCAGACCGAAGGGCCGCCGATGTGCGACACATCGACGATGGCGAGGCACCTGAGGTCGGAGGACATAATAACTCTATGACGATGATTACAAGACTCCGAGGCCTTACAGGACTGCAAGTACATCATGGTAATTTCCACGAGATCCTAAACCAATGATGAATAACGCTATGATGTTACCTACCACCTCACATGCAGCTAGAAATATCTCAGGATTCGGATCTGAGGCATCTGCAGACCAACACATTTGAGAATCCCCCACACCTCCATAGATTGTGTTCCTCGCTCCACCCGTCACCCGGCTGCGTGGTGCGGGCACGAGACAGCCGACATGGCGCATATACTTTCGAAGTGTGAGTGCGGTGTTCACCGCCACCACTCGGACGAGCGCGAGTGTTCCCCAGGACGACTGGCTGAGCGGTGGCGAGCAGCCCTTCGCAGCCCACGTGCAGTGGACCAAATTTGGGCTGCCCAGCAAGCCAGAGCTAGCACCGAAGACATCGCACGATGCTTCGACGACGACAGCTCCTGGAGGCCTAGCTCGGGCCAGTAATTACTCGTTGGATCCTTAATAAAGTTTATTACCTACCTTATACGAACGTAAACACAAATAAACACAGTCATAAGCCAATTTCATCCAGCAGGCTGGCATGTGCTAAGGAGGTATGGCGCAATGTCCCCAGGAGGGAGACCTAAGGTCTGGTTGGCGAAAGCAATCTATTACTGGCATTGAAGTTGTCACTAATGAGCCGATTGAAGCACGCTGTCTTTGTGAAATAAAACATACGAAACAAATGTGTGAAAATCTCTCATACATTTTTTCTTGGAAGGTTATGCTCATATTAGTGTTTTTATCAATCACTGATTTTGTGCATTAGTCCCAGCGTCAGCATGGAAATGCCACTGCAATTTGTGGTGTATATTTGACAGACTGCCTATTCATTAGCCCCTTAGTCTATCAGATAAACAAAAAATGTACATTTTGAATGATACTTCACTGTAGAGTTCACGCGAGGTTTTACAACAACCGGGCCACAAGAGTGGTTGTCTTCACCACTGTCATGCCTAACGAACAATACTAATGTTAATTGCTGTGTTTCAATACTCACCGTAGACGGCTAAATAGACAGCTAAATGGACGGCGGCCATCTTAAGTCCCATTCCAATTTTCACGTAGCCTGGTAAAGTAGACAGCTCCGAGAAGAGCGCATCGTATACAAATACGAGGCAGGCTACTTTGCTGTCTAAACAAGGTGGCAGCTCATCGAATCGCTCAAATAGAACAAATCTCTCCAGAACGGCCGTCTGCACACAAGCAGACGCTTTCCCAGACGCTCACTGGGAGTACAGTTTATTTGTTTTTGATTTCAACACGAAACAAGCCAGAAATTACTACTGTTACGTTTGTTTCTTCTAGCTTTTTCTTCTCGACGCGAGGTTGCGCATCGTCGCGTAAAAGCTGCCTAAACGTGTTCCAATTCTCGGACAGCATGGACTCGGTGCGATCTTCTAAGCAGTCTGCGTAGACTGTCTACGTGCAGTCTAAGAATTGGAACACTGCCAATATTGTGCAGAGGCCGGCTTATGCACAATATTGGCTGTAGCTCCACCTTTTATGTAATTGTAACCCCACCCCTTATGTAATACCCCTCTTGAGGGCGCCCTTAAGGAAATAAAAAGTAAAGTGAAGTGAAAGAGTCTATTGGTGGTGTAATTTCAAAATTATCTTCACAGAAGGAGCACAAAAAAATCTAATTTAAAAAACGAAAACATCTGACAATTTTTCGAAAATATAATATCAACATTTTCAAGCATGTGTGCCTCTTGAGGTAGGGGTTGATGCAACAAAAAGAACATGCAAACAATACCCATCTGCGTCCTAATCAGTTGTACAGGAAAGTTGTGATTTCCTAAGCGTATTAATATATATATATATATATATATATATATATATATATATATATATATATATATATATATATATATATATATATATATATATAGATATATATATATATATATATATATAATATATACTATATATATATATATATATATATATTATATATATATATTATATATATATATTGTTGCGGGGTCAAGGTAGTTCATAATATATAAGCGGGCATGCAGGTACATTAGACACTCTAGTACAATATGAAAACCTGCACTGCTAGTAAATGAGTCGGTTCAAGACACCCTTTGTACTGTACTGTAGAGAAGATAAAAAAATCCCGACACATTTTTTTGTTGTCCAATAAATTACTTTAAAATGCGCATTTTTATCTATGACACGGATTGAACTTTCATGAATACATTAGGGTACATTATTAAATACACTTGGTTGGCCACGCCTTGATTACTTTCCTCCAGCTTTTAATGGTATATGGTAAACAGTAAAAATGAACTTACCAAAATGAGAAGCAACGGCCGGTGTCTGGGGTTGGGTTCATTCTGACGGAAACAACTCGCGCAGTTCTCACCTTCGGGGCGGTGTTCACTGCTATAGAGATAGGCTCCTGCACAACAAAATCCGACAGTTGCCAAAGCAAGGTCTTGTAAACTTTAAAAACCTAAGTTTTCACAAACTTCAATATAACACATTAATGTAGACAAGCTTAGTGAAGTTGAGTTATTTGCAAGGTGGCAAACAGCAATGGTGGGGGCGTGCATACGTCAACCTATGAGGAGTAAAAAATTTCAAAAACCTAGCGATGGCATCTGTGCATTGAAACGTTATATTCAGAATTACTATATACTGAAGCACTCCATGTGCCAATAAAATGATTTCTTATTTCTCCTCAGAAGTTTGGTTGAATGTATGACAAGCATATTGAAAAAGTTGTATTTCTTGATGAAGGCCGCAATCATTCGAATATCACAGAGTATGTTTCAATTTATTGATAATACGAGGCATAGCAAATCTTCTGAAACTTTTAAATACTCGTGCTAAAAACTCAGCCGTGAAATTTAGACGTTTCCCTCGTATAGCATGGAGCTAATGCACTGTCAACGGGTATTTTCGCTTTCTGTACCTAAATGAAAAAATGCTATCAGAACAAGAATAGAATCCCCATTTAAGTAAAACATCATACCTTTTTGATAAGGCAACACGAAAGATTATTCGTAATAATTACAAAGACTAGCCATGCCTCGCACCTCTTAATAAAAAGATAACAGCGAAAATTTAGAGACCAGTGGCGCAATAAAGCAAACGCAATAAAAAGAGAAAACAGAAAGCTTCAAGTTTGAATGAGCTCCCCTTGAAGAGTGGATTGCAACGGCCTAGTTTGACACCGTTCAAACTTTTCTCTGAAACGTTGCTTCACCGTGGACATCTCAACATTGCCGATATAAGCAAGGAACATTTGTGTGCATCTCAGCGGTCGCATTAAATGGGCCCCCAAAACACGTTCCAGGGCCTCTATTGCCTCATAAATTCAACGCCGCAAATATTTTATGAACCTGTCCAGTACGAACGGGGGTACAACGATTCGTCGCACGCTGCAAACGCATTCTTTCTTTTCTCGTCCCAACGAAAGTGCTGGAAGCTAATCAAGGAGGGGTGGCATGGGCAAAAAAAATGCGTCACGTGTGCTTCATGAACTCGAGAACTTTTTTTTTTAATCAATTCTTAGTAGGGCTATGTCAGGCATCCGGTATCGTCTGCGATGGTGTCCGCGCGCCAGCAGATGTTATCTCCACTCTCTCTCTCCCATAGCAACACATGCGGGCGCACGCACTTAACCTCGCCCCTAGCAAGCATGTGGTACGAGAGAGTGTGGGAAACGGTTGCAGCCGTGCTTCGGCGCTCGTTATCTTGCCGTTGGCTCTCCCTTCTTCCTGCGTCACAATCTGCCGTCCACTCGCGCCTCACTCTCGACCGTTCCCTGGCTGGACGCCTCTCAGGAACATCTGAAAATGACGCTGCAGTGAAACGCCAACACCGAGTCGAAACACTGGCGCCCCACTTTCGCATCTCCGCTCGCTCCTCACTCTCGACCATTCGTGGGATGGGCGCCTCTCAAGGCGATAGCTGAAGCTGGTGAAGGCGAATGTCTGGCGGTAACGGTACGCTCTCTCGGTGCAATAAATGCATTCGCATTTCCTCGTGATTCCCTTCGGGAAGGTGGGGGCATTTTTTTCTTACGTGGCCTGTTCGCGCGTGCGCACGTGGACAAGTCGTGACCTCCCACGGTGATCCCTGTAACAACCAAGGACGCCATGTTCATATCAGCGAATGACTGATAGAAGGCCTCCTACGAGTGATTTTTGAGCGCCTTCAGCAATGCCACGATCAGTGAATATCACAATAAGGGCGGTGGCTGGTCAGCAAATAGGTCATTGTTTGTTCTGAACCAGTACTCAATGGCATTCTTGCCCCACTTCGCAGCGAGGCCCCACCAGCTACCTCCATGAAAAGGCGTCGAAGGTTTCACACTCGGAATCAGATAGAAGACATTGTTGTCTCGTTTGGCAGTGAGGCACATTCATTTACCTTCAAGAAGATGCATCGATGCTTTTCATAAGCTGCCTCACGACGTGGTCATACTCCCCTTCCAGAAAGAGGCTTGGCTTTGTAATTCGTTCGATGAAGGTGACTGACGGATTTACGTGCAAATGCACTCACCATAAGAATTACAGAGCTGGTAGTAACAGTGCATTTAGGCAGCTGCGCACTTTATTGATGCTTTTAAAATTAATTACGGAGGAGCGCTTTGTAGTGCGTAGGTCTCTAAACCACGAAATTATTGCGCATGCCCACATGTGTGATGTCTGGTGCAATTCCGAGCTCCCACCTCGCAATATTATCAGTTAATGGGACACCTATAGTATTATTCATGCCATCTGCATCGAGTTCTTTCCGAAGCACTTGCGAGGTCAGGAGTGGTTCCGTTTATATTACGACCCAATCATATTTTATTAAATATACATGCACTTGCGCCTCTGTCTTCCTCGCCCCAGTATATTTATAGCAGATCTTAGTGATCATGGATTACCAAATCAACCAGCGATAAATCCTTCTAAACTTACCTCTCTCTACTGGATTTTCTGCAAATATGATTTCTGTCTCCAATTATTACCACAAAATAAAGACAGGTGTGGGATTCAAGCTGAACGGCTGCTCGTTACCCGAAAGGCCTGGCTTTGTTTTCACCTCAAAACCTATACTATTGTTTTCATCGATTACGAGTTCTCACTCACAAACAACACCAACGTTTCGCCAGAAAGCACAGCCGATGCCTACAACAAATTTATTTTACACGGGCTCTTTAACAATCTCATTAAAACTTCGCGTTCGCACGGCAGCACAACTGAGAAAAGCGCGAGACCTCTGCGTAGCGTAGCAGTTACGGCACTCAACCGTTTGCCTGTAAGTCGCCGGTTCGAAGTGTGGCAGTTTGGCTATAGTTGGTACGACAAGACGATAGTTGTATCGCGAGAACAGAACGACGACAAAGAGACAAGAAGGACACGAGCGCTATTCCTGCCGCGGTGATCGCATAAAGACGAAGTGCTTGAAGCCCGTATTGATTGATTTGTGGGGTTTAACGTCCCAAAACCACGATATGGTTATGAGAGACGCCGTAGTGGAGGGCTCCGGAAATTTTGACCACCTGGGGTTCTTTAACGTGCACCCAAATCTGAGCACACGGGCCTACAACATTTCCGCCTCCATCGGAAATGCAGCCGCCGCAGCCGGGATTCGAACCCGCGCCCTGCGGGTCAGCAGCCGAGTACCTTAGCCACTAGACCACCGCGGCGGGGCGAAGCCCGTATACTGTGCGATATCAGTGCACGTTAAACAACACGAGATGGTTGGAATTTTCGGGCCATGCTCTTTGGTACCCTTCATAGTCAGGCCGTGTTTTTTGGGGACGTTGAACCTCAGTTATTATCATACGAGAAAAAGCGCAACTCTGCAATAACTGATAGCAACGGTCAGTTGCATTTAATGATGATTTCAATTGAGTTCTATCAAAATTTCAAGATTTTTTATTTGGGAGAATGTAATTCTTCACAAATATAGAATCAGCTATAAACACTACTGAATGATTGCTTCTCTCATGATGCCATTTATGGCGAACGGATATTCATGCCGATGAAAAAGATTTTTTTGCTACTGGACTGTATTTGTTGCTGAAGCGTTTGTTTTCTAAACATCAGGAAAAACTTCTCGAGGCATGAGCAGCAACCCCGTCTAAAGTTATGCGGGGACATACGAGGAATACCGCACTAATTATCATCTGTGTACGATCGTTCTGTAGTGCTACATGAGCACGTAAATGACAGCATAGCAATTCCAATTTCCTTCCTAGGGAACTTTTTAATTGCCACTTACGTAAATTCCGGGTACGGAAAATAGTGCTTTGACGTTTCTTCATTTATTTCATACCAGTCAGCTGTGCATTACGATGTGAAAATGACACTGCAATGCTTATGCCATTTGCAAGTGTATGGGGTCCCTCTTACTTGATTAAGCGAAAGCTGCAGCCTCCTCCTCTCCTCCTCGCTGCCCACCCACCAAAGTTTCGTAGCAGCTATATATCAACATAAAATGCGCAAATGTAAGCTTGTATGCATGTTTCCTACTGAACAAAGGATCATATTATCAAAGCCTTGAAAGGCTGAACGATAATATTCAAGTAGAAGAAATGTGACAAACACTGTTCTGTACCTCTATGAGGTTCGCTGTATGGAGGCCGCCATGGGAGCCCAGGATATCCAGGATCTTCAGTATGGAGAAGCCATTCAGATGTCGTCCTCAAGGTTCTCTGGGAACCAGCCACAGTTCATGAAGTCCGAAAAGTCGCAGCTTACGTGAAGAGCAGCCTCCCCTAATGAACGTAAAAAGGTATGCCTGCATATCAGTTTTCAACAATTTAGGTGTAGCTGCTATTTCGATTGATCGTGTGTTAATAAACGCAAACGAGAAGTGAAGAGTCACGTGGTACACTTAAAATATTTCGCGAATGTTGGTTGGTTGGTTGGTTGTTCCTCAGAGTCCTGGTGCAACCCACCACGGGGGATCAGGCCATAAAACGGACGGTGCCTCGTTTGTGAGGTGGAGTTGTTTTACCACCCTGATTATTTAGATAACGATGTTTAAACAAAGAACCAATTGGTAAACGATAGATTAGAAATAAAAAGAGGTAACACAAAGAACGAACAGGCTAATATGGTTTGAAATAAAGTGAATTTATGCCTCAGCTTAACATTCTAATTGTTTTGTTGTTGCCTTTAGAAAACTGCATACGGCCTCGCAAACATTCCTGTGTCTAAATCCTTTTTCAGTTGCTCCAAAGGAGAGGACCATCTGCGCCTGTTTTTTTTTCAAGAAGCAATATGCTATTAACAAGCATGAGCAGCCAATGTGGATGCTGCTGAGTATACTCCAGAAAACCTTGATTAACCTTAGGGGTCTGGAAAATCAGGTTATTGTTGCAATTTTTTAAGCGAACGTAATAAATATCTATGTTTCCATTTCAGTATAGCTGTCTTCGCTGCCCAAGACATGGCTATCGTGAACTTGAAATGTAGGTATTGAGGGCTTTCGATCATAAAATTCAAATAGACCCCTCAAATTAAGCAATGCAGTCGACGAATAGCTGTGTGTATATTTAGGGCGATAGATGTATTGACTCATGTGCCGTAAGGTCATTCATGACGCCGCATTGACTTTGAGCCATGAAAGTTAAGGTGCCCCCAGCCGTTCTTTGTAAAGGAAAATTCGCACAACACAAGACGTGAGAGATAAATTGAAGTCTCTTGGCTCCAGGCAAGCTTGGACACCCCAGCCACAGCTTCTGCTATTTCGCTGCTGCGTCTCTGTCGTTCAAAGTCGCATTACGACATCCGCTTCGGAGAGGCGTCACAGCTGCACCTGCTTAGAGCCTGGCCACTGTGGTACCCCGTCCATCGAGAATGGTTTATAAGAGGTATTAAGGCAAAAATTCGCAGACGAAATAGCCTGCGCTATCGATTCTTTTGAGCATGAATATACAGTCTACAAAATGTCAACGTGAGCGTGCAATTGAGCAAAAGTCGGTTTCTATGTGATGTTGGGAATCCTACTCTCTCCACTCGGCGCCCGAGATTCACTACCCCAGGTGGAATAGAAAAAAAGCGAGAACGTAATGTGCGGCCGCTATGCAAATAGAAGTGATTGGCTTGCTAGTCCCTTGACGATGAAGTAGAAACGCTTGAGAAGTTGCAGGAAGGCCGAGAAAAACCTATAGTTACAGACGGTATGAAATTTACATAAATCCGGACAAAAAAGCTGCAAAAAAGAAAAAACACTTTTGAAATGAACCGTCTTTCGCAGGGCGACAAACCGGGATTCGGCAGAGCCAATGGTGCCCAACACCTGAAGCCTGGTTCAGAAAGCCTGGCGGAACTCCAGGGTGTTTTTTTATTCCTTCGATGCTCCACTTACACCCACATGTCGGCGAATGGTCGCCTGTTTGTCCTCTGATAGGACAGTACACTGATAGACCAATACACCTCTAGTGACGTCCCAAAGGGTGGGGTTCTCAGCCCTACTTTGTTTAACCTCACGAGTATTGGACTAGCCCAAGTTCTGCCTCGATTAGTTACCTTTTCTGTGTACGCCGTTGACATCTGCATCTGGGCTTCGGCAGTGACGGGACCCTAAATACGGGCAAAGCTCCAAAATTCAGCGTCAACAACGTCGAAATATCGCCATGCTTTAAGGCTAAGAATTTTCCCCGAGAAATGTGCCTTAGTTACTTTCACTCGCAAGGCGATGTTCTGGTATGCCGTTTCTATCAAGAATATCAAAATTTTGTATAAGAGACGTCATAGACTCCTGGGCTTCATTATTGACAGAGATCTTTCGTAGAGTCCTCACTTCGTGCATTTGAAGAAGAGGCTCAGCTCTATCGCCCATGTAATAAAATTCCTCGCCGGTGAAACTTGGAAAACATCCGTTTCAGCCGTGCTTAAACTGTACAGAGCGCTCTTTTTGGGGTGTTTTCAATTTAGCACACCCGTGCTTTCAAATGCTGGAAAAACCAGCATCCGGACAAAGTGTTCAAGGCCAAGTTCTTTGAACAAGATTGGGATTGCCTATGTGGGTTAAGATGGTCGCAACTATTGCCATTGCCAAGACCACCCGATTCCGATCTATTTAACTGCAGACACACTCCGGGCGCATATTCGCCATATATCCAGACTGCCTAACCCCACCTTGCTAGTGTGCCACTAGAAAGACTGAAGGCAGAGTGGTGGGGCTAACCAGCATTCCATCTCCTTGAGATTCTCACCCGCAACTATACCGCTATAGCCGGAGTGGTGCCTACAAAGACCCCATGCACACCTTGAATTGCCGGGGATATACAAAAAGGCTAGCATGTCATCAGTAGTCCTCAAGAAGATCTCATTGAACCTTTTGCACATATCATATTAAAACCTAAGTCATATCTATATGGATGGTTCACTCTCGGGAAGTTCGATGGGCGCTTTTGTGATTTCATCTCGGTCAATTAATTCCATGACTTCACACGTCAAAACATCTACAGACTCCGAGCTCACCAGCCTTCTAGACAAAATTAGATTTGTTGTGCGCGAATTTCCTGCTAAGTGGGCTATCTTTTGTGACTTCAAGGAGTCCCTTCAATGTATGCAAAGTCTACGACGCTGGAAACTACACCAAAAGGTATCTCAAATCAATAAAATCTGTCATTGCGCGACTAACAAAGGACTTGACATAATATTTAAATGGCTGCCTGGTCACTGTGGGATGGGTGGTAACCACCTCGGTGACAACTCTGCCATTTGTGCCCACGAGGAGCACCCACACTGCTCATAACCCGGTCAAGGGTTGATGCCGCAAAATAACTTCGCCCCATCACGCATATTACCACATTAATGGATTGGAATCTTGCACAGAACTCCACTTGCTGCCCACAAAATCTGGCTTCATTACTCCAATCACAGCTACCATCAAAGACTTCGCGACGAGATGCTACAATGCTGTATCAGTTGTTGATCGGCGTAACCTTTACCAATTCATGAAGTTATCGCATTCTTAAGGCTGACTCCCCTAACTGTGATAACTACCAATTTGTAGAAACTCTCTACTATGTTCTGTGCCATTGTCCAGACTTTGAAGAGGGTCGCCGGTCTCTCCAGTGTGCCTTAAGGAGGATGGATCATCGATCTTTTACTCTGGAGACGATTTTGGGAGCGTGGCCTTCAAGTACTTCAGCACAGAAAGCCACGTGAGCCCTTCCACAATTCTTGAGGGCAACATTCTGTGCGACCGCTTGAGAAACCTTAACTGTGTGTGTTACGTGCAATGCGTAACTCCTCGTCACTCTTTTTCTCCCTCCCCCTCTCTCCATCGTGTAGGGTAGCAAACTGTACTTAGTCTAGTTAACATCCCTACATTTTTTATATTTTTTTCTTCTCTTTCTTTCTCTTCAATGAAAACCCACCACAAAGACCCCACCACCGTGCACGTAAGGGCTCATGCCCTCTCCCCAAATAACACAACGAAAGCGGAAATAAAAAACACTAGAAAAACTTGGACACGTATCTGCATGTTACACAGCAAACGTAGTCGAAATACGATAGTCTTGCGTCTGGAGATAGTGAAAATAAACGTTTATTTGATGTAATGCACAATGAATTCGGTGAATGGTATTCCGGAGGCGCTGCGTTACAGTGTCTCGAGCGTGCAGCGGAGGTGGAGGAGCGCATCAAGTCACGTCACGTGAGACATGCGCGCTATCTGGCAGTTATCTTGGAAAACAAAGCGCGTGGCCTGCCCACCCGTCTGGGAGGTGATAAGGTGTAAAACGCAAGGCGACGGGTCGGTGCCACCACTGTGCCGTCTTAGCAAAGCGTTGGAAACACTTGCCTTTTCGTGCAAGCGTAGCATGGTCAGCGCAGCGTGATAAACGTTACGGTCCTTAAAATTACTTATGTATGTCTTTCCTAGTAAAATACACACATACACAATATTGACGTGTTGCTATGGTACCTCAGATAAGCCGAATAATTGCTTTTCAATTGACAATCGCACAAATAAGAACCCTGATTCTTGAGCAGTATTGGTGGGTGTAGCGGACGGGGTCGGCCGTTTGTGGTATCATTTGAATGCCGTTTGGGGTGGTTACCGTGAGGAGCGGACAAACAGACAAATGTACAGAGAGACAGAGCAATTTTTTTGCGTCGAAGGTCCCCAAGAAAGACTATAGCCTTTAAAAGTCGTAAAGAGAGGAGCAAGCTCAGCGGCGCACAACCATCTAAACTTAAAGCTATGCGTGGCGGGATTTGCCGCCATAGGAGCGTCATCCCTAATACCACGTCAACTTCTTGATGACAGGACCATAATCCGCCTGTCCTCTGTGCGCCGTGAGAGGAACCGCTCGCTGTCCGAACGTGCTTCCGTACTCTGTGCAGAAGTTCCGTGATGCACTGTGGAAGCTACACGCCTTCTCAACCTATCAGGAGGGCGAGCACATTTAAGTGTATCCCTCCACGGCCTGTCATCTGCTAGCGATGTGCGCTGCAGCGAAAGCGGCAAGAGCGTCTCGGGACACTGTGAAACTGCGCAGTGATATTAGCTGTAATGGTGAAAGCGGTTGAGTAATCTCCTCAGCAACGTGAAAGCGTGCGTCTTCGAGATAACTGCACGTAGACATTTGAGGCATACGGTTCAGTGGCTCATGTTTCGGTGGAAAGCACCGCACTAGCCAAATTCAATATGAAAGCGCCACACTTCCCCAGATTTTGTATACGCATGCCTATGGGCATGCGAATTGCCACTCGCAGTCCGATACGAAATGATGGCTATATTCCCTGTGCCTCGCTGTGCCTATCGAGCTCTGCGAGCCACTAGTACAGCGCACGCTCGCTGCCGTTGGTGGATGCAGCCGTTTCATAATGAGAGAGCTCATGCTTGCATCTCTGCCGCCCTCTTATGCAATGTCCCGAACACATTTAGAGCCAAGTGCTTTGCTCCTTTGTCGTAAAAGCTGGTCCGGGAACAATATCGCACAGGTGAACCAGGCGCCGCCATTTTGACAGGAGTGACCAAATCTGGCACTGCGAACTAATCATAACCCAAGACTGGGTCTCCCCGCGGCGCTGTGAACGCTCGGGCTGTGCGGAATACTCATAAAAGCTCAGACAGTGTCGTACCTTATAAGTAAAAACATAACACATACGAGCCACAACACCGTTATTTTTTTCGTCATTTACATGTTATAACAAGTACAAGCAAGAATTCTTTCTTCTGTATTATGAAGCCACAAAAATGGTTTATATACAAAAAATGCGACAAAATCGTCATAGAAATCACAGCAGCTACAACACGCAGAGAAGCCTTCGAGCAAAAATCCTCCTACGAGACCGCTTGCAAAAGTCACGAGGACAAACAATGGGCTACATATACGGGGCACTACATCTCGCTTCGCAACAACCTGCGTTCGAGGGTCCTGTAGCCTTGGCTCTGCTGCACGGAACTTCTGAAACAGAGTATACTTACGACCTCATTTGAAAGGATTAGCGCGGAAGGATCAAGACATGGCAATGTGACAACGCTCACTAAAGGCGCCTACCGTGCGCCCTATTGCTGCGACTTCAGCCACGCTTTCACGTGTCGCAAGGCCACCCGCTTACGAGAGCCACCAAAAGTACGCCGGACCGTGCCAAAAGGTTGACGGCGATCCCTAGGTATCTCGACGCAAACTCGCCGCCTAGAATCGGCGGCAAGCTTTAGGCGCGCGCACAGCAAACATAAGCCAAAAATGCCATGACGCAATCGGAGGTTGGGGGGTGAGGGGGGTGGTCACAACGACGTTTCCATCCCTACCCCTTCATCTCCCACGTGGGGGTTGTGGCCCTTGACCTTGGTTAACAAGAACTACAAGCGCTCGGTAATCTCAGGTGCCTCAGCACTTCGCAAGGTGCCGTGCGGGTGCACCTTCGTGTCTGTGGGGTCAGCGCTGATCCAGTCCGACTCGCTTAGACTGAGTGCCACCAAAGCAATGCTGCGAGCCGGAGCAAATGCAGCGCGACGGCTGGCATGTCTCCCTAGACTTACTCGACAAAGTAAATAAATGTAAACAAAAAACAGCCACGTAACCACTTCTCACCGCGGTCCTACACCTTGCAAGGCAATTATAATTAGTATTGAAGCTAGGGCGCATGAACGAGTACTTTACGCCGTGCCTTGCGATACTCGCATCCTGCAAGGTGGCCTGAAGGTTGACCCTCAACTTTCAAGACGTCACCATTACAGCCGTGCTTCGAGCCGGCATAGCTAGTATTACTACGTAACAGTGGTCATAGCATTTTCGCTGTGCTTGCGCAAGCAAGCTGCTATTGAGCGGTTGTTCGCCGCCTACTTTTTAGGTCAGTAAAGTCCTGTTTGGCGATTGCTTGCCAGTATTGTTTGACTGTACTTTAACTTTATATTTAATTCAGCGCTAAACGAAAATTCATTAAATTTCCTGCATTGCATTTTGTAAATAGTTCAGGCAGTGTAATTTTATTAGCGGAGCACTTTTTTCACCTGCTCAGACGAGAATGGTATACACTTCATTGCTTTTTTTTTTCAAAAGAGCTTAATTGGTTAAACAGTAATCCCGCATACACGAAGACGTTATGAATGAGACAAAAAATTAGAGGCCCACTTCATATACATTCGGAAGTTAGACTAAAACAATTCCACATTATAAGGCTCATGCATAAAATTTCCAGTTGTAAATATTATTCCGCTGCTGATGAAGCTGCAAGTTACACCAGTAATGTATATTTTAATTGGACTTTTGTGTTACACTGCTAGGGTATATAACTTAGTGGCTTACTCTAAAAAAGGCCTCAAGTTACGCCTTTTTAGGATATATGCCTTTTAAAGTTTTAGGAAGCTTTTGTGTTGTTGATTGCATCGGGCATTTTCTGTTCAATATTGGCCATGCGAAAGTATGAGATAAAGAACGCATAGTTATATTAAACTATATATGCCTGTGTCAAAGACAAAAAGGTCAATCATAATGAGACTCGGCATGGTAATGAGTTAAGAGGAGACATGTGGTCAAAATTTCAACACAGCGAGCGAATTCAGCTTCAAACTGAAACAATTATGTACTGGAAAAATATACCGTTGCCCTCCCATATTTCCATAATACCAAATTACTAATACTCAGTCAAGTCATTGGCCTATAGAATATTGCAACCCGTAAAAACAATCATTGTCTTTTAGAAAAAAACACAAGAAATTGTAATTACTTAACTATGAAAATTAGGAAAATTAATTAAAAAAGGGCCAAAATATGACACCCGATTCTTGAATTTCGTGCACAAAAAAATTTACGAATGTTGGCTTTTGTGAATTTTTCGTAGAGCATGGTCCGTAGCAGTAATAAAAAAACATGAAAAGGGTATCTGCGAATTTCACATCATCTAATGTGAACACACTATACTAACACTCACATTCAATCAAATAAGTATTTCTTGTAGCCCGAGTATTAACACGTGTTTGTCCTGGGGAGGGCGCCCCGCCGCGGTGGTCTAGTGGCTAAGGTACTCGGCTGCTGACCTGCAGGTCGCAGGTTCAAATCCCGGCTGCGGCGGCTACATTTCCAATGGAGGCGGAAATGTTGTAGGCCCGTGTGCTCAGACTTGGGCACGTTAAAGAACCCCAGGTGGTCAAAATTTCCAGAGCCCTCCACTACAGCATCTCTCATAATCAAATGGTGGTTTTGGGACGTTAAACCCCACAAATCAATCAATCTGGGGAGGGGGGCACAAATCGATGTTCTATCGCGGTTGGGAAAGGAGCGCATCGCTGATGTAGCATGGGCGGGGTGGGGTGGGGGGAGTTTTCGTGTGACTTGAGGGTGCTAAATGTTCCTTCTTCACACCCCCTCCCCCTGCCGACGCATATATATTTAGTTTTTGATCTCACAAAAACGGATATGTTTTCAATGTTGGGTGACGCTATTTTAATGGGAGTCACACCTTTTCCTTTACATGCATTTCACAGATTTGAGCAGGTTGTGTTCCCCCTCTAATCATGGATTGAATGCTGGGAAAATGTATGAGCATTATACATCAAGGTAGTGCGCACATGTTTAATTGAAGTAGAAGTGCCCCGCCGTGGTGGTCTAGTGGCTAAGGTACTCGGCTGCTGACCCGTAGGGCGTGGGTTCGAATCCCGGCTGCGGCGGCTGTATTTCCGATGGAGGCAGAAATGTTGTAGGCCCGTGTGCTCAGATTTGGGTGCACGTTAAAGAACCCCAGGTGGTCTAAATTTCCGGAGCCCTCCACTACGGCGTCTCTCATAATCATATAGTGGTTTTGGGACGTTAAACCCCAAATATCATTCAATTGAAATAGAAGTGTGTCATCAGTCTCACACTATCTCGAGCTATACCCGTGCGGTAGCCCTTGAATCCCCATGACGTTCCACATCGAATAATTCTGTTGCGCTTGCGTGACGATTCGTAATTAGGGCTCAGCCTCATAACAGATGGTGGTGTGGGTCCATGTTTTTTGGTGATGGGTAGTTCAAACCTCTCTCACGAATGCTGAGTTGATGCAAATGCTGCGTGTTTTCTACTTCAACTCTAAAAAGCAATCTTCCTTATTTATACAGGTTAGGCATGGTAATCGATCTGTCGCAGCAAATTAAGACCAGTTATTTCTCTCCAGAAATACTTAAGTGTCTTTAATCCGAATGAATTCGTCGAATGCAATAATACGAAACGCAGTTAGAAAGACTAGGGCATTCTGTAATCCTTGCTTGAGAGAACACGAAGCTAGATGGTATTTTTTACACCCGTCTGTATATATGCACTTAAAATACAAGAGCTAGAGGGTTCTAAACCGAAACCCACAGGAATATAATAGGCACCATTTCCGGCCGTCTCTAATGGCCGTTCAAGTTGCCGTTGTCTTGGTGCTGTGCTCACACATGAAAGCGCATCGCAGTTACGAGGTTTGACAATAAAAACGCAGGACTGCTTTTTGATAAAGCTATGACAATTATTACTTTGTTTTAAAAGACTAACCCTACTATGAGCCGTAAAACATTCGATCCTCGCAATGGGTAAATACAACAGCTGCACTCACATCCTTCACTTTGAGTATCCGGGTGACACATCTTGTACTCCGGGTTGTCTATGCTCACGCCAGTAGAATTTGCCGTGTACAGGAACTGCAATATAAAGTCACTGCAGTCATTGCTGAATCAGACACGCGTGCACAATTTACCTTAAAAATTGCATGCACCTACTAGATATTGAAAAGGCTTTTTTGTTAACTACGGCATTCTTTATTCGCTTCTGAATTAATTGTGAGATTGTTTTATAGCTCTGAACTACATTGCAAGGCGCCTGCCGCAAACAGAATAAAAGGAGCAGAGAAAATTGATTTATCACTAAAATGGTAAGCTTTGCACGAAGAGGAAATATTTATATTATCAAAACAAAAATGTGATAAGCATGATGAAATAGTAGCACCAGAATATTACGTAAAGTAACATTGGCCATTACAGCTGCTAATTAAGGCCGTTAGTATTGATAGGTGAACGAATACCACTGCACTTTTGAATATCAAAAAGAGAGAACTGTTTCAGATATTTGTAGTTTGGATTTCATGGCTCCGCACTCTACTGTATTTCTAGCATAATTTAACAGGCTTTTCAAGCTGCCGTCCTCGTTTACAAACTGACTGCCAGCAACTAACACGTGCTGTGAGAGGAGATAATACATGCATGCGCATCAATGTTACCACTGGATTTTCTCTAAAGGAATCTTTCCGCAATTTATTGGTTTACGTGAAATAAATGACTAACATTTCTGAAACACATGCGGTACGTTCTGAGTATTCACGAGTACTGCCAGCTAGAGTTGTTCGCCAATAATACGCCGATAGTGCATTGATGTTCATAGCTAAAGAAAAGAAAACAGGAATGAACGTATCGGAAGCTAGAAAATATGTCGAAGCATCACAATAATGATGCTGTTTCTGTCGCAACCAGTAGTCGGCAGCTGTCACAAGCAAGTCAATTGAGATATAGACCAAAACTCAGTGCATTAAAACTGAAAACTCACACATGAAACGCGTTCCTTGGAAGTTGATAGCAGGAAAATTAAAGCTTCTTTTTTGCAGTAGCCAAATAGCTGAACAACGAGTAGTAAGTTACATTCAACAGGCTAAATATGTTTGACAGAATCATTTAACCAATGCTTAATTTTGATTACCAGTCAGAAGACAGTTACTCAACTTTCCAAACAAGAGTTTTCATGCGAAGCTCACCCGTACTCCGGCTTTCCAGTTTCCTGTTTTTACTTGAATCTTGACCCATTTCCCTGCGCCTTCTGCTGCGCTGAGCGTTGCCAGAGTCCTTAAAGCATTTCTCCTTGTGCGGTTCACCGGACGATACTGAACTCCAAAATTCAGCTGCGCTCCCCCTGTAAACAGTAATCCGGGAAACACCATTCACAGGCTCTGCGACAAAGATATCGATTTCATGCACGTTTTTTTTTCTGTTTGAGTGGACACTGCGACAGTATCGTTAACCTGTCGAATTGTACAGCACATCTGGTGTAGTACATAACAAAAAAGCAAATTGTTATAGAATGTCTGTTTTTGAGGCACTTCTTTTTTTATGTCCGAGATGTGGCTTTTACTGGCTATTCTGATATATCGCCCACAAGCTAAATTTCAATTTTTGTTGTTAAAATTTATTTTGTTGCAGAAATACATACTGCTTTCAGAACAAACCATAGATGCTTTAAAAAGTGTGTTAGAACTTGGAAGTTGCAACGCAAGATAACAAGACAACTTGCTGTTTCATGCAAAGTTGTGGAGGTGTACTCGTAGGTGCTAGGGCATATAAAATGCCACAATGACTGCCGCGTTATAGGGGAGCATCTTTCGTTTGCACAATGAGTATCGCCATCATGTGCACTTGGTGTAAGATAGAAGTGCGCATGCAAGCTCGTACTTTCAGACTGTGCAATTTCCATGCAGCTGCAAGCGCAGTTCAAATACCTTCATGACGTATCACGAACAATATGAATCTCAGTAATTCGTCATATCGTGGTAATGAATATGAAGACAATACAATACAATACAATATGGAGCCATAACAAAAAGAAGTGGAGGCTGACAAGAATCATATTACTAGTGTCTAGCACAACTTTATTGTTTTTTTAATTATGTTTCTTTTGTTTCTATGTGCTAGAGCACATCTGTGCCATTACGTAGATTCGAGTGGGATGACATGCGGCAAAAAAAAAACAGTAATGTGAATACATAATTTTATTCCATTTGTTACCATTAAGCGTCAATGCAGAACCTTCCCTTTTGGTATAAAGTATGCGTTATATAAATATGGCTATTAGCCCTAGTTTGACAATTGATTATAAAAATAAATGAAAAATGCATAAGGCATGTCTTTTCGCCCCAACCTATAAAGCAAAACAAACAAGTGTGAAACATTTTTATCTGTTCAGCTGTTCTAGTAGAGAAGCACTTGAAATTCCTTCCGTGGGCCCTCAAACATTTTTCATAGGTACAGTTCTTCCTCTCCACGCATTGAATCCAGACCGGCCCAGGTGCACTGTTACTCTGAAACCTGTTTTCGATCAAACACATTTAGTCTATCTTTCTGCTATTGTCTTTTTTTAACGCTTGCACTTCATAAAAGTTATTTAACGATTGAAATCTAGATATGTTGTGATGCCTCTTCTTCACCTATTTTTTTTTTTAGTTCTGATGCAGAACTTCATCGTTATTTCATGACTCAGTTTGGTCAGCTGGGTTTTGTGAGGTGGAGAAATCAGGAATTGTATCGCTGGTCATTTTTAAATTTCGAGTCAAAATCACATTGAAACTTGATTCCAAGGCTTGCTTGTGAACAGATTCCGTTGTAGATTCTTGCAATTTTTCAAGCACCTCTTGGGAATGAACGTGGAACAACCTCGACGCCGCGCAATTGGAGTGAGTCCTATCCTCAACAGCAATGACTGCTTTTTCATGTCATTTTCCTGCCAGGTAGCTGTATGTTATATTCGATTGTACGTCCGAACCCTCTCAAACAAATAACTTTATATAGTATATAAGTATAGTGTCAATAAAAGGTTCACTTAACAGGACGTTTTCTAAAGCAACTTGATGGCTTATTCTCGCGTTTTGCTGTCTGATATGCGCAACTTCAAAAAAAAAAAAAATTCACTTTGGCCCCAGGCACCGAATGTACTAAAATTTTGGTGGTAAGTAGCAAGAAGTATAACGTAACAAAATAATTACTTACCTCACTGTACTGACGCCGGAATCACTCATTACATGGGTTAGAAACTTTAGTAGAGCAGAATGTGAGCCCTTTTTGACGGGTCACTAACACAGTCGCACTAGTCGCCTATTCGTTACTGCACTAATGCCTCAAACAATCATCAAATTGTACACATGAAAACATAGACAAGTACAAGCGATTATTGCTGGAAAAGATAAACAAAGAAAAGCATTTTTTTCTATTAGCTACGGAGGCCAGCAGAATAAAAATGCCGTGTTTTTTCCTATGTCTCATTTTGCCCCACCCTATTCTACTGCCTGAAGTGACCAAGCAATCTAATTACTGTATTTGTTCATGCCTTATAAACGCACGCATCCATCGTGAAATCAGTATTGAAATCAACATTCCATCGCAAATATACAGATCGTAAAATATTCGTAGTAAATGGCATTTACTCACTCTTTGAGGGAACGTATGCATAAAATGATATGATACAAGAGTGTGCAACTTCTCCCATTTTTGGCGTACTCAGAGCTGTGGTGGTGCCCTCAGGTGCTTCTGTAATATAACAAAACGTATGTGATAAACAAATAATAAATATTGTACAATACAATAAAAACACTGTTTTCGAAAAACCACATATGCATGGTACACAGTATGCTTTACAAAAGAAATTTTTGGCAGAGATGATTCGTGTGGAATGCAGCGATAAATATAATGTTTTGCGCAAATTCTTGAGATCGTGAAACCCGTTATAGTCAAATGCTGCTGCTATGGTATATAAAAAAGTGCTTTTCGGATAGCGGGCTAATAAATTCAACCAACAATCAGGCCATAGAAATTGTAGAGGACACTAGTTGCTGTTTTTAATTGCAGTGAAAATATTATGACATAATTGAAAGCAAATAAAGCACTCTTCACGTCAGAGGTATCCCAGCCCTCTACCTTCGTATTCCGCTTATGAAAAGAGTGCTTATTCGTCCACGCGAATTATTATCGTTTTTATTGAGCACCGGTCAAACGCCCTAGAATACTCTGCCTTGTGCTCACCTTCATTTCAGTGCCTGTTGCAACGAATTGAGGCCCTGCGAAAGTTCCTCTTTTTTTTTGTTTAAGCAGTTTTGATGGTAACGTGTTACAAGTATTGCAGTCACCGGCGACGCCACACTTATCTTGCTAAGTAAGTAACGTATTCTTTATTGTTTCAAAACTCTACGAGTAACATACTGAAGTTATGACTTTTTGGTAACATGGGGTGTTACTGTGATGTTACCTTTAGTTCCCATTGCAATTATCCAGAGAGTCTCACGCAATACTTCTTCGTGTCATGAGCGTTAAATTCTCAGAGCAATACTTACGTCACAGCGGCAGACTACTGTCAATCTGCTGGTTGTTTGCAGTGGGATTATCATGTAATGCGTCTGTCAAGCACCTCCTACTTACCACAGTGGTCACTTCTATTGAGCGAGTTGAATTAGTAAGCAAGTTGCGCGTGCAATACTAACTCAGTTTATCCGTTCTGTTATCAAAATACCGCTAGGCGTGTGCGGAGCATGCAGCCCTGTCACAGCGAATACTAGGATGTTTAAACACTCTTTGGATGTTTAAACACTCTTTGTGTTTATAGGATGTATAGGAATATTGGATGTTTAAACACTCTTTGAGTATGTGCTACAGGAACACTTGCAGGTACCCACTAAGCCATAAAATATATCTTTTGTGTAGTGGTATGTGCTACAGGCACACTTGCAGGGTGCCCACTACGCCATACACTATACCTTTTTGCGTAGTAAGAAGAGATTCTTTTTCTTCCTCTTCTCGACCACCGCACATGCCACACACTCATTTGAGCAGACTGGCCGAGTAGAAAGCATTCGTCACTTGTTTGTTTGAGCCTTCAGACTATGTGGCACATGTAGACTCAGAGGATTCGCATTCACAATGCCATTCTTTGCTGAAGCGTGGTATACACCGCTGCACAATTTCAAGGCAGTATGTGTTCTTTTTGGCTGATTACAGCGAATAGTTATGCCAGAGAGTTGTGTAAGGAGTTGAAGCATTAAATGACCCACTCGTAACACAATTCGCATTGCGTGATGGCTGGTTGCGTCTTCACTGTTCTTCATTACCCATAAACGCTTTATTGCTCATAATAACGCAATTTCTTTCCCGGCCAGAAGCCTGCCTAGGTTCAATTTGCAAAGTTGTTTCACTCAGTGGTGCTCATAGAAAAAAAAAGGCACGGCTTCGTAGTAGAATACTAGGCTAGCCCACAGGACACCCTGGTTCAAATCCCATTGCATCTTTAATGTGTCCTATTATTATGTTTTTTTTTGTGGCGCGTCAGTGGTTACGGACATTGGTGGGAGTGGTGCTGATAACATTTAACTACAAAAAGAGGCATAGTAATCTTTTAGAGGTCTCTACAAATAGGCGAAGTGTCAGTTCTGGGAACCCATTGATTGAAGCTGCCAGCCGGGCCCTCTGGACCTAGACCTGCTGCGTATGAAGGTCTGAGCAACCGAGCAGGACCACCTCCCAGTCCTGATTGAATGATACGTGGGGTTTAACGTCCGAACACCACCCTATAATATGAGAGACGCCATAGTAGAGAGCTCTGAAAATTTCGACCACCTGAGTTTTTTAACGTGCCTCCAAATCAGAGCACATGGCATAAGCATTGTTCGCCTCCATCAAACATGCAGCCGCGAACCCCGGAATTCGGTCCCGTGACCAGCGGGTCAGTAGCCGAGTGCCTTAGCTACTAGACCACCAGCAGCGGCGACGCCTCCCAGTCTTCTCGGCTAGGGTTTGGCTGGGGAGAAATGACTGCGTTATTTTGGCGTAATACTGCAAAATGAGGTAGTTGGCACGAATGCATAATAGCTTTTTCTTAGCACTCACGGAAAGACGCACAAGGAGAGGGAATGACACCAACGTGACTATCAACTGAAAGCTTTATTCGGAGAAGGAAAACGTATATACTGAAGCTATATAATCAGCTGCCCATACACACCGTCGCAGTTGCAAAGTGCGGGGTTAACGCGCCAAATATGTTGTACTCATTATTCCCTTCAACAGCGACACTTCTTCACAAACAGTCAACGACGGGGTGCTGATACAAGATGATTGCCCGATGTAGATGTCAATTGCCTCAGCGATCTCTTGTGCGGTGTGATCATGCTGCCTAAAAAAGTTAACTGTGTATTCGAAAAGCGCGCCTCGCTACCACACTGTACACAATGCATCGCCAAATACATTAGCAGCATGTTCTTCGAAGACAAATGGTGCTCCCTTAAGCGTTTGTTTATGCAGCGACCAGCCTGCTCCACATACGCTCGCCCAAATGTTAGAGCAATGTAGCAAACAAGGTTGGACCTCACCGTAACATAACTATAACCTTGTGTCGAACTTTGCCGGTCTGTGTGCTTACTCATCCTACAGCATCCAGCTTCTTTCCAGCCATAAATCACAGCCTAGCCAGCTTATTCGTGGCCGCAAAAACAACAGTTACCCCATACCTGTGGGCGGTATCTTAAATTCTGTGCCACAGAGCATGTACAGTACGGTATCACAGCTACTCGGCCCCGTTCATGTTCCTGCTGGTGATGTAGGCTGCATTTACTATGCTTAATAAGGCGCCTGCATATTTACCGCAATACAGACTCGGGGATGTCCTGTCATGATGGTTGATTTGGCGAGTTGCTTTCACAAAAGCTTATACCACGCTGATCGGAATGACTGATAGTGTGGCATACAATGTCTCCAGCACAAATGAAAATATGAAACACCTGCTGTGCCACTTGTCCTCGATTTGCTTCAAAGAGACATGTGCTTGCCAAAGCATTGCGGCCACTGGATGATCAACCTCTTTTTGGCATGGTGCTATTACAGCAGCTGTCCACATCCCTCGACAGCCTACAATTGGCAGTGGAAGCCCTCTTGTTTTTCTTGAGAACGATGGGTTTGTGTGAACGCCTCTTACTTGCGTTGGATTTCTACACGCTGCAGTGAATTCACTGCCTTGTCTCTCTTTCTTTTCCTTCTCTAACCTCTTTCTCAACTATCTTGTCCCCTTTAGTAATCCCCCAGTGTAGGGTAGCCAGCCAAATGTATGTCTCGTTAACCTCCCTGCCTTCCCTCTTTTGTTGCTTCCTTCTTCCTGGCGAGTTGATGATTCATGATGGTTTGAAATATCAGTGTGATGCGCAAACAGAGACAAGAAAGACACAGACAAGATTCCAGGGGGTTTTGGAGGTTCCTGGAGACGGCTTTTTACATGCACTAGCGTGTTTTAACTGAAGAACCTGCTCCCTGAAGCTCTCCTGTGCCTAATAGGTGACAAGACTTGGAACTGAGGATTTTAGACAAGATAGGACTACTACGTTTTTTATTGCCTAAGAATGAAATTAGTCATAGTTTAGAATGAGCTTGATAAATCCAAGAGCATACTAAGAACGTGTATGGTCGTCTGAAATATACAGCATAAGGTCCAGAAACTGGGAGGTGTTTTGAACTGGGACTTCACACGAGAATTTCACTTTCACCTTGAAAGCTCCCAAAACACCCTGTACAAACGTATCTAATTGCACATTGCTACCCAGTATCAAAAATGATCCACTAAGCAATGTACTGCGGTGGCGACCCCCTGAAGATCTAGCAGCAGATCATAGTCAATTCTGATAAAACATTCACCTAAAAAGGCACTGATGGCGTTGGACCATGTTCGCGATCAAAATAGAATCACGGTATAGACAACTAGAGCTTCAGCCAGAACCAAATCACCCCTACTTGTCCTACACTTGATTGAAGCTTTCTACGAAAGGGACGCAATTCATGCTTCACAAAAAAAAAAAAAAATCATGCACACCAAGCAATCGAATGAACGCCACATCTCAAATGTGACATTTGGTGCCACTGCTTCTTTAAGTAATGCGCACATGCACGAATGCTGTCATTTTTCTGACTTGAACAATACGGAGATCGAATTTAAAGTTAACATCGGCGTGAACACTAAGAAATGACACCCTGACACTGATACTCATAAATGAGAGTCAGTTTTCATCACTGGTTAAGAAGTGAAGTTACGTGGAGGTGATCTCAAAAGAATAACTTAGACTCATTTCGATTAATAATTAGATGGTTTTCGTAACATCACTTGGGCACGCTATAAAATGTAAATTTAGTTTATGAGTTAGAGTATTAGTTTATCGTGAAGCACAAGAAAATGGTATAATTTTTAGCATATAAAATGAACTAAGCAATGGGTAAAATGTCTGGTATGCCATCAATATAAAGTAAAAAGAGTAACCGACCCAGTAATGAACCTCCAGAGACTCCTTGGTTTATTTATAGTAGATGAAAATGAGCCTGCTATGTCTACAAGATGCTTTCTGTTAACGAGGAAACTGCTTAAAAAAACGAGAGATTAGCCAGTGACGCCGTACGCCTCGACTTTCTCGGACAAAATGTGATCAATATTTGTGTCAAATGCCTTTGTAAAGTCCAAAAAACCTACCCAACTATATATATTTATACATAGTTGTGTTTCACGCAATCAGAAAGATTGAGAAGGGCCAGGTTAGTAGAGCCTACAACGCATTTGCCACGTTCGTATCTCCGACAAATGTTACCACGATAATTAGCTTGTCCTAGCGTTTATTTAGGCGTACTGTATTCAGAAGGTTTTTTTCGGTATGTATAGGCTACAGGTGTGTTGAATGCTTCAACTTCAGTATGCTTGCTTCGATCTGATTCGTTAGAAAAATCAGCTGCTATTAACAGTGGGCTCAACTTTTTCGTTCAGTTTATAGTTGAAGGCATCCAACGACGCCAGATGCGAACACAGCATTTGCTTGACCTAGCAATATTTACCAGAAGTAGCAAAACCAAAAAATTCTGTTTTTTCTTATAATTTTACTTTCTGTTTGTGAGCACATTGTCTACTAAAATAGCGGTCGAGACCACACAAGAATAGAGTGCTAATGATTTCCCGTAGTTTTGTAGTGCCAATACACTATGTGCATAAAATGACATACAGAAATTAACAGCAATCATGCTAATACATTTTATACTATTTTTGGTTGTCTCGCGATAAAGCAATTTTTATTGCTTATCTATGTTTATTGAGCATCACTTTCACTACATACTGGTCACGAATAAAAATCTTATTATCAGTATGTATTATCATAGGTATTGTCATTGCAGAATATTAGACCCTATATGTGACATAAACGAAAATTGCAGTCTAGAAGAGGAAGTGAGCTTATTTAATCGAAAGTCTGTTGAACTTCGCTTACCTGGATTGAGCAACGCATACACAGCGTAGACACCATGTTCGTTCATTCGGCTGTCTGTGGAAGGGAAGTCCTTGTTCTTCTTCCCGACTTGCACCGTCGTCCAGTTCCAGCCGTAACGCGCACTGGCATCCCGATTCACCAAGCCACACAAATCTGTGGTAAACTCGCAGAATCCTGAGTGGCACACAATGACAGAGAGTGTACACGGGCTCTAAAACTGTACACTCGCGAATCAAAAAACACCAAGACAGTCAGCTAGAAGAAATAATTGATAATTTTTGTCGACACAGAGGGCTTTCTCAGCTATAACAGAAAATGCAGGGACAGGTCAAGAATCTGAACCTCGAAGGCTTCTGGTTGGCTATCGGGCCCTATGGTGTAAGGGTGCGGGGATTAATACGGTGGCGCGAAATTCGTGGCTAAACAATGTTAGCATGCGCATGCGCTTGGGCGATTGAGACTGTCATAATACATTGCCACACGTTGGAATATTTGAAGAGGTGTAAAAATTGTTAGTATTAGTTGTTGGATAATAGGGCCAATTTTTCAATACTATATTTAGCGGCAGTAGCTTATCGTACAATCGTTACCGTGAGTGAGAGGGTGCTTGATTTTGAATACTTTGGCAGTGGTGCCACAAAAGTATAATTATAAGTAGTCTTAGCTAAACTGTGCATATCGAAAATGCTGCAATAAACGCAGACACAATACTCTACCAGAAACTCTCTGCTTTTTGTTTTCTGAACTAAAACTTGCCAAGGGCTACCAAGTAGGCTTCGTTTTCATTGCAAATATACAACCTTAAGTCACACAGGTACGTTAACAATATATTATTTTGTGTCAGCCACATGCATATTTAGCATAAGTTTCATGCTCTAAGTAATCACTCACCACATCTAGATTCGTCCACTCCATTCGAGCAGTCTGCCTTGAAGTTGCACAGCTGAGACTTCTGGATGCACTCATTCAGCTCACCACACTGAAACTCGTTTTCACCACACATGAAGGGAGGCACTGTTGAGGCATGTTCCGCGGGCAGTTCTGTTTGGAGCAGTTATAAAAACAAGAAATGAAAAGTTTATTCATAAGTCGCAAACTTATTTCTGATATTGCTGCCTCATAAGTGATATCTCTAGCAGTGGCGTAAGTTTTTTCAACTTTCATTGCATCAGGTGCATTTATATTTAGGTCATAGATGAACTCCTTGAGGGTCAATTTTCTTCGTGAAATGCGTCTCAAAAAGCGATATATTTGTTACCAGAATAACTTCTTCACACAAAGAAAGAGAGAGAGAGAAAGATAAAGAGAAAGGTTAAGAGGTTAAGTAAATATTTGCTTCTGGTTTGCTACCCAGCACGGGGGTCGGGAAATAGGGGAAATAAAGAGGGTGTAGAGAGTGACATAAAAATGAAAAAAAGAGCACGTGCCTAAAAAAGAAAACACACACACACACACGCACACGCACACACAAGAAGAGCTTTCTGAGTAGAATCGTTCAGAAAGGCTGGTAGATGGTGGAAAGTGTAGTAGCCCTGCAGGGCCATCTTTGATGTTGCATCCTGACAATGGTGTGAAATTCTTTCCTACGATAGAGGTTAGTTATTTAATGTGTTGAGCGCGTTTCAGAGGCATAGCAGCTGTGCATTATATTTTAAGCAGTCACAAAAAAAGATATTTGCAGAATCTCTTTCAGAAAACGTTTGTCTAAAATATTCTTGCGCGAGCGTAATTTGAACGAAAAATCTTTTGTGAACTTATCACATAGATACTATTCTATCATGAGTAACACAAATATCAATTAAAAAAGAAATTATAAAACAGTTAAAGAATCTGCGTTAAAATCATCAACTGTGTGGTTGACAGACGTACCATAATAAGTGCACGAAGCGAAAATACGGGGTGAAAGTGCACTAATAATTAAGTTAGTTTTGTACCACCTCACGCGAGTTTGTGTTGGCACTCACTTATCAAAGTTTGATTCTTAACTTGCAAGTTACTTCTCGTGTGATGACCTGATATTTACTTAATCAGATTCTAATACGGCAGTTCAGTGGTAACTCGAAGTAATCGTTGCTAGACTGAAAATATGCGCTTCGCTTACAGAGAGTTCTCCTCATTAAAACTGAACCAGAATTATCAAAACCAGTACGGTATTAAGTGTCCGAATCTTTTCTGCTTTCCCAATATCATAGATCAAATATCTAGAGGTAAAAACAATCGAGAATTACTACACTCATGTCTATGTCAGCTTATAAAAGCAAAGAAATTGTGGTGCAATTAGTTCACCTTTATCGGTTGCGTTGCAAGTCTCCCAGAAATGCACGTCATCAACGGCAATGTAGCCATACGCATCAGAAGTCCTGTGCTCTCCTATGAATGCCACCTGACATACCACAAAAGAAGTGGGAGAGTTACATGTTTATACACGTGATTCACCATTATTGTTTTGGTCTATACGTAACTCCATAGAGCCGAAGTAAGAGTTGAAGTAAAATGAGAAGCATGATCGCACGATGTATCAATAGTAACAGGATGTAATAAACAGCGTTGTAAGAATAGTATAGCATCTCACTGCTTCAGTAATGTAAGTTTACAGTAATTAGTAGCGTTCAAACTTAGAATTAATAAATTGAGCCTATGAAAAAGCCAGTCTAACACTTTTGGTGAACTGTGATGTCAATATTTGTGTTGTAATTTTTATCTTTTACATTAAATACCTTATGACTATAGAAAAAATTATTTAGCAAAGAGTTTTAATGAGGGCCTCTATAGCACAAAACGGCATGAATGGAAATGTTGCGTAACATGCAAATAAAGATGGTCTAAATTTCAAAGGAGAAAAACAAATAGCATGAAAAGACGAATTCCAGCTCGACAACTGTGCGACCAGAAAAAGAGCGTAGCTTGGTCCTCCAGCGATTACCATTCACGGAGTTCCCACTGCTTTGTGCACCAAACCGTCAATGACGCCCATGGTCGTTGTAAGCATGCAAGTTTTCCTCTTTGCGAGTAGGATTTGGGTAGGCAGAGTCGAACACTAATTTTGGGACGTATGCACAGGTTTTCTTTTTCAGCTTTAGTTTTTGTCTACGTCCTGCTTGTTATGGAATTTCAAATACGCGTCGACTGCAGAAAGTTTTGTCAGGTTGTTTTCTCCTTCATAAGTGCTGACGTAGAGCAGCGGTGAGAGGCGAAATCATGGACACCTCGAGGAGGTGGTGCTCTCCCTTAAATGGTGCCGCTGTCGGGCGCACGTTTCTGACACGTCTTTAGCTACCTAAATTATTACTGCGAGTACTTCGTGCTTGTTTGTGTATGTTACACCAATGTTGTGCTTTGCTCATTCATTTTTTTCGGAATTGCAGCATTGCTAGCCGTCTAATGTCCTGCATTGAGTGCTTTACGAGAGTGCAATCTCGCCCCATTCAATCCATGAATGGAGGACAAGCGAAGATCTTAAAGTGCTGTGCGCCTAAAAAAATTAGCAGTGTCTTAACTCCGCTACACCACGACATGCGCAGCGTGAGCCATGGGCGGATCGATAGACAGACGGATGGACTCACGCAGATGTGGACAGTGGGACGCATGAATGGACGGATGGACAGGTGGAGGGATGGACGGAGTAGCGAACGAGCTCTTATGATTCAAGTGCGAGTTCATTAGTCACATGTCCCTCCAGCAACTCCCAGGCCCTCTCCGGCATGACAGCTCTACGCAGTGTGACGCTACTGCTCTTCAGCCATGTGCAGCATGGCTCTCGTTAAGCTATGCGGAACTGCTCCTTAGCTAGTGTCACTTACGCTACAAAAACCACTATCTGATTACACAAAGTACAGAGTTCTGCAATTTGAGGCCTGAGCTATCTACCTAACAACGACAATATACTGGAAAAAGTTGTCCCAGTAAAAAGAGACATGTTACTGCTTCAAGGAAATTCTAAATTTTTCTCAGCACATTTTCAGTAATTGACACCATGTACAAGTAACAAAGTTCTTAGGGGAGACTCGGCTTTGAGAGGCCTTATTTTTCGAGGTGAGTGGGAGTATTATCGAGATAGTAAATAAGATAAGGAAAACCCACAGATGAATATTATATATCTAGGTGGTTACATGCGTGCACTACAAAAAATGGAAACAGTGGCTTCACTGGTGCATGGAAAGATCTAATGATAGTTAAGGCTGCCAGAGTGCACTGTACGCAATAAAACATGACTATAACAAACGGGCTATACAGTCGACGCCACGCTTTTTCCTGGCGTGTATCAACAAATATAACCACCGTCGTTTTCAATCACCACAATGCCTACTGAAGCCGCATGAATGGTTCCTTATGTCTGCTCAGGTATTGTTCATGCGCTCACCTGATATGGAGCAGCGCTCTTCAATTCCTTGCTGATGCCAACGAAGTGCAAGATGTTGCTTGGTCTTGATTGCTTCCACACCGTCTTCCAGCGACCATCTTTGGTCGAACGGATAGCGAGTGAAAGTTGTGGCCTGGTCGTTCCTTGCATGGCAAAGAAAAACGTCACCTATTCCAGATATGAGATAAAATCGAGAAATGAATTTTCGCGTGACGTACGAAAATTCCAAGGAATAATTTTGAAGGTGTTCTTTAATTCAGCATGCAACATGCAGAAAAAAAATCAAGGCACTCTCACACAAGTGATGCCTTGAAAATGTGGATCTTGACAGCCTGATGTTTATCTTTGGTTTTCCTTTTTTTATTGTCTTCACTTTCTTTTTCCATTTTTCAATGTTTTCTGTTTGTTCCTGTCTTTATTTCTTTTTATTTGTCTTTCTTTTCTGTGTTTCTACTTCTCGCTTGCTTACTCTCTTTTTTCTATTTTTATATCGTTACGCCAAGCAACGACAGCATACGACAATCCGGGGCCGTGAAGCGTTTTCTCCCAATATTATCATGCAAGCTATCGAAGAACAAGAGGATAAAGAGTTCTACTTGGCCTGCGCACGCTCACTATGGTACAAACGGCTATGCTATAAGTTCTATGGCATGCGGTAAGCCGAACCACGACGACAGCCTAACATATCCCGGGCACCAAAAGTGTACCCCTCTTGAAATAAATTCTAGCGCACATTTATTCATGCGCGCCTACCTCAATTACAAAACAATATGGTCCGGTATCTGCATGTTACACTGGAAATGTCGTCGCAAGACGATAGTCTTGGGTCTGGAGAGAGTGAACAAAACGTTTATTTCATGTTCTGCTCAAGAAAATTGGTGAATAGTATTCTGGAGGCGCTGCGTCAGAGTGCCTCGAGCGTACAGCGGAGGACGAACGAGCGCATTGAGTGACGTCACACGTGAGACATGAGCGCTATCTGGCAGTTATCTTGGAAACGAAGCGCAGCGGCATGTGCGCCCGTCTTGGAGGCGATAAGGTGTAGAACGCAAGGCGACGGGTAGGTGCCGCCACCATGTCGTCTTAGCGAAGCGTTGAAAACACTTGCCTTTTTGAGCATCGTGTTTCACTGTCAGTGCAGCGTGATAAACGCTACGGTCCTTTGAATTACTTACGTGTGCCTTCTCTACTATAGAGCCACACATTGAAATTATGAATGTGTTGTTATGGTGGCTTTGACATGCGCAATAATTGCTTTCGAATTGACAATCGCAAATGTATGAACGCTAAAGCTTGAGCAATATCGGTGGGCGCTGTGAATGGGGTCTGCCGTTTGGGGTATCATTTAGAGCCGTTTGGGGTACCGTTAAGGGCAGACAAAAAATAAACGGGCAGACAAAGAGACCAAAATGTTTGCGTCGATGGTCCCCAAGAAAGACTATGGTCTTTGAGAGAGAATTCATTGTCCTGTGGGCTGCTCTGTCTCTGCGCATTGCTTCCTAAAAAGGGTACTGACACAGAATTTCATAGCCATGATAGCATGCGGGATCGATTATCGTGAACAGGCGTTATTCTATTTATTTAATTATTTATTAAATACTCTCAATGCCTTTTGCGGCATTACAGGGGGGAGTGGAGTTACCAAGTGAGAAGTAGCAGTCTCGAATGATGCATGACCAGTGTTGCTGGCGATGTTGGTGATAAAATCATCTGCGATATATCAACCACGAAAATAGCTTTGAAAGTACTTTAAAATTGTTTGCAAGTTTGCCTGAGCGATTGACTCCACCACGCTTTAGACAACCTCAAAGGAAACCCTTGGGCACCTCCTACTTAATTGACGTGACCACACTGCAGTAAGTTATGATCACGTCATAGCCGTCATTTTCCTTTGATCCCATTTTCTCCAGCAGTCTATTACTTGGCTGCGGCTCGCAAGTCCATGCTCGCTGCGCACGATTTGAAATTTTTTCGTTTCTTGATTTTGCTGTCCCCTTTCCTGTTCAAAAAAAATTTCTTAATGTGAATCACGAGGAAGTGCGTCAAAGTTCTGTGTGCTGACTGGGTCGAGCGTTGCACCTGGTGGCTTGTCGTTTTTGAAACCGAAAGTGACACTGGTCGGCAATAACAAACCTATAATTACTTATCTGTCTCGCACTACAGAACACCATGTGTCGTCTTCTGTATAACAGGCTCCCAAAAACACATTGCAGCAAAAAAAAAACGTGAGGCCAAAATTTTTGTTTGAGTACGCGTTTAAGGTTGTTTGTTTGTCTTTATAGCTCACCATCTTCCAACCACAAAACATAAGATGTCGAGCGAAGTTTCACAATACCATGAAAAGGCGATTAGCTTCAGTTGGACTTTCTAATTACCCTAAAATTCCATTTTATTTCAGACTAGCGTTTCATGCCCTCTTTCCACTAAACATCTCAGAGTTTAATTATCGTAGTGATGTCCATTGGTGCAGCTAAAGACATTTAAAGCAAATGTAATGAGGAACAAATATGGCGAAAACCTATACAGAGCATGAAATTTTGACCTGCCGATTATTGTGGCCTATAGACCTGCCGCGCTCTTCAGTCATCGTTTTCCTCTCTGCACAGTCGCTACCATCGGCGCAAGTCTATACTCTTGCAGGTGAATACAAAAACGTTTACGTGAATATGACCAAATCGCAAATAAATGATATGCCTTCAGCGCAGCTCAGTTTGAGCGTGAAGGAAAGATACTATACAGTCAAGAAGGGGAAAAAACAGACGACCCTGTGAGTGCTAACTTCCAACTTTTGTTTATTGCGTACCCTTAAAACACATTATATAGCTCATTTCACAGGACGCCACACACATGACAAAACCACACACGTGTGGCACAGCACTTTATCAAGGAAACGTAGTTGTGATCTGATTACAAATAATCAATTTATACTAATTTATACAACTTATACTAAGTTAGTGCTCACACTGTCGTTTGTTTTTCCCCCTACATGACTGTATAGTATCTTTCCTTCCCGCTCAAACTGAGCTGCGCTAAAGCAATATCATTTATCATGCACCAACTCGCCCTGTCAGCAGTAGTTGTCCCAGTTAAGTATTTGAAAAAAAACTTGTAGTAAAAACGGCAAAGAGGACGTGTACGCATTCTCACAAGTGAGGTGCAATACACAAAGTAATTTCTGAATGCAAGTGCAGCTGAAATGCTAGTACACGAGAAAGGTGTTAAAGAAATCGCATTATTAGCTCAGAAGTTGTTCGAAGCTTTTACAATAACACAAAAATAAAAAGACGAACAAATGTTCAAGCTCCTATTGAAAGTGCTACGGGTGTACAGTTGCTATCGCTGCACGTGCGTTAAAATACCGATCAACGAAGAATGGCAACAAAATTGATGTTGCGTTGAACGTTTAGCGGTTCGGAAGCCCGTGTCAGACCGTGCATGCCAGCTAGAACTTACGCGCGAATGGTTAATAAATGCGCCCCGTGGTACTTTTTTGACACATATGCGGGTACACATGACGTTCTGCTCAGGTGAGCTACTCACACCATAGATCAGAGGCATAGCTGGTCATTTTTTCGGAATACATGAACGCATCCATGAACAAGCTCATACTCACGGCACAATATGAGGAGTTGTCGAGAGTAGGACCTATGATGATTGCCTTCTCAACTTTAGAGGTAGCTTCGAAGAGCAGAAATTTACCTGAATGAAAAAAAAACAATAATTGTTGCTTTTGAAGATATTTTTCACTAAAATACCCAAGTGTAAGTCACACAGCTCTTATGCTTAAGAACAGTACAAAACTTTCTTTAAATGCTAGATTTTAAAGCCTCATCGTAAGAATGAACTTCATTTCCCTGAAATACTTCTTCCAGTTCAAGTTTGTTTGAATGGGCCCGACCCTCCTTTTGCCGACTGCTGTTTATTCTTCGAAAGCTGGTCCAGTTTGCGGACTCGGTTCCAAGGCTTGAGTCGTTTCATTATAAAGCGGAACGTTCCCCGCATAGGCTGATGGTGAAAAGAGAGCAATCCTCGTATTCTTTTGCCGTTGCCTTGTTTCTCTTTATATGAACCAGTGCACTTCAGTAGGCGTTATTGAAGATATATGCATATAAGATAACATTTAGGATACTCCTTGCTCATAGTGTGTCTGTATTATTATCCCTTTGAAAGACCGGAAAGCTGTATTTGTACTTTTCATTATCATTTGCAATATCAGGTATCTTTTCATTAAGGATCAACCTCTGGGACAAGCGACTGAGACTGTGAAGCAACTTGACTTGCTCAAATTTTAGTGTAGGTGAAAAATTAAGGCAGTTTTAAAGAAGCAAACATGAATAATGTCTGAAGATGCTGTTGAGTGGTGGTAACGGTTACAATTTTTTTATAGATGCCTGTCAATTACATTCATGTGGCATGTTCACACGTAAACCATATCAAACCAGCAAAGGCGAACTGCTTACCTTAGTGGCTTCTTTGTGCACTTGTCATTCAATGCGTTGTTGTTCGAGCAAGCAAGTTCATCAAAAAACCGCACAGTGGCGACATCTATTATTTTCGACCGAAATACCTATTGCTGCAATGACTATGTTTCTCAATACCTTAATATACAGAGTGTTTCCGCAGATTGAATTCCTTGGCTGTACTTTGAGAGAAGTCTTACATTTACTTCTAAGTAACCAATCTCAAGCTGCACAATGCTATAGACTGTAATGCAAAAGCAGGCGATAAAGTAGCATGTAAATTATCGCATTTTGTACTGGATGACACACCTGCATACAGCTTCATACCAATGGTGGAAACAGATGAACACAATTTGATACGGACGTTTGAAGCCAACTGTCACAACAAACTGTGACCAACTGTGACAGGCTTTCTAGCACGCATTTAATACACACGTAAAACAGTTGAAAGCCTTAACAGTAGATATTATCGCAATAAGAAAAAAGAAGAAAGCAAGTCTTGTTAAACTCATCATGCTGTCAGAGGTGGAGCCCTCCGTTACGGCGCCACTCATGATTATATGGTGCTTTTTGGGATGTCCCACCCCACATATCAGTCAATCAACTTCGGTGACTCCTGCCCATGTTTCTCCTAAAGCAAGCATGCTGCTTCTAGAGGCAGATAAAATGGTACAATTTGGTGATGACAAATTTTGCCCAAGTGACCATTATTCTACCATGCTTCCACAGTATACCTTTACTGGAACCATGTGCAATAGCGAAGCTCTTAAAGCTTGAGGTAACGGTTGAGAACTCGTGAAATTGTCACGGTTTAGCCGCAAAGGCGAAGCAATGAGTGCGATAGCAACAAAGTGGAAGGTCACGCGCAGATCGGCAAGCAGATCAAAACGTGCCCCGCGTTTCTCACGCACAAAAAAAAAAAATCGCAGCATATCCACAGAGTGAATGATGGATGGTGGGGCAAAGCATCCGTGTGTTCATTCGTTCTTGCTTCCGTCCATGCATGCGTGCGTCTGTGTGGCCGCCCATGCGTCCATCCACCTGTCCGGGCGTGCGTCTTTTCGTGCGTCGGCACGTTCATCTGTGCGTCCGTCCCTGCTTTCATCCATGCATCTGCTCCTGCGTCCGTCCATGCGTCCATCCATTTGTGCAGCCATCCGTGCGTCCATCCATGCATCTGTCTGTGTGTCAGTTCGTTCATTTATTCTGCACTTCAATACTACCATCTCGCATCTTTTCATCATATATTCCTCATATAGAAGCACCGCCATCCAGCGGACAATCCAAGGACTGAACGAGAAGAGGCACACGCACACTTTCTCACGGCTTGCGCTTCGTGTCTACTTCCCACCTTTAACCACCTCGAGTTCATGGTATCTACTGTGTTCATGACACTGTCGCCCAACGCTCGCTAAACCTTTCTAAAACCTAGGAGGTTACGCCAAGCGAGTATGACGTAGCAACAATGTTGAATAATGAAAAATTCGCAGCGTGCGCATTCGCTACACTGTCACAGCCAACTGTGACCATGGTATACATCGGAAGAAGATTTACAACCACACTGCTTCAATTCATCCTCAGCACAGTCTCTCTAGCGTGGATCCAACACACATGTAAAACAGTCGTGAACCTTAACAATAGACATTATCGGAATGAAAAAAGAAGAAAGCACGGCTTGTTAAACTTGTCATTCTGGCAGTGGCGGAGCCCTCCACTATGGCGCAACTCATGATTATATGGTGGTTTTTAGGACCTTAAACCCAACATATCAGTCAATCAACCTCAGTGACTCCCGCCTATGTTTCTCCTAGTGCAAGCGTGCCGCTTCTAGAGGCGAATAAAGTGAAGCAAATTGGTTCAGTTCAGTTCAGTTCAGTTTATTCATTCATTCAAAATACAAAATTCGTAGAACGTAGTATGCAGACGAGGGTCCCAAAGTCAACCAACTGCAGTGGGACCCTCGGTTAACAATAACAATAAAACTATTAATTATAACAGCACGTAAAATACGCAACACATGTGAAAAGTAAACAGCGAACTTACATAAAATAACATTAAGTAAACAAAAAAGGCAGTCAGAATGCGACACAAGAACAATAGTAATAAGCTATACAAGTAAAACATAATCACGCCATAAAGCAATAACCTAAATTTGCAAAGTCTTTCCAATTTCTACCCGGATACATAAGAATCGTTAAGTAATCATCGTTGACAATCTAGTTATGCAAGATGAAGTTTTTAAAATCACGTTTCAATGCATTAAAAGATGACGATGATTTTAGTGTATAGGGCAGGTTATTCCACAATTTATTGAACGCGAAGGCGGAGGTCATTTCGCCATAATTGGTGTTACATTTAGGTAAAAGGAAGTTGTGACTGTGGGCGAATCTAGTGCTATTGGTGTTAGTGAGTAAACTAGCATCGATTAAATCAAGCACAAGCTGTTTGTTAAGTTGTTTATATAACATTATGATTAGGTGAAAATTAAATAAGCCAGACACAGTAAGAATACAGTTAGCCTGAAAGATGACAGATTTCGCCCAAGTGACCATATTTCTACCCTGCTTCCACAGCATACCTTTACTGGCACCATGTGTAATAGCGAAACTACTAAAGCTCCAAGTAAAGGTCGAAGCTCGTAGAAAAAGCCACAGCTTTGCCGCAAAGGCAAAGGCATGAACGCGATAGCAACATATTGGAAAGTCCCGTGCAGAATGGCAAACAGATCAAAACATTTCTCACGTTTCCCACGCACAAAGAACGCACGAAACGTACTCAAAGGTACCGATTAACACGAATAAGGATCTCAGTTATTACTTATCTGTGTCTGCAAAGCGCGCCCTTTTCGCAAACAAACAACCATTGCAGTGACCATTGTGTGACGGGTAACTACAACAGAATTGTTCCGACGAAACTCAAAGGCTAACCAAGACGTGAGATTCTTCCCACTGCAAGATAAAGGCGTGCGATTGAGCGTACACCCCCTTATTTTCTACGCGGGCCGAAGTACGCGTGAAAGATAAGAGCCGCCGTGCACTCGTGCACTCACTGCGCCATCTTGCTGATAATACTGAAAACAATATAGTGCCCCGCCTCGCCGAAGTGCCCACCAACAGCGCTAAGTGCTAGATATGAATAGATTGTCGTTTTAATGTTGAAGGAGGTAATGTATGTTGTGCAAAAGTAAGTGATAAATAAAGAAAAAATCTTCTCGGTAGCTCAGTGGATAACGCCTCGCATTCATGACGAGGAGGTCCGACGTTTGGTTCCGCGTGCCAGAGCCTTTTTTTTCTGGAATTTTTTTTCTTTTTTGCGTTTTCATATATATAGATACGTATACATTTACAGTGTATAGCCTCGACGTCGATGCCGACGCCCACGCTGATGCCGGCGGCGAAATCCAGCGTAAAGTGTACATATATTTGCTGTCACAATAAAAGCCCTCCCCGCTGTTATTTATCTTGTGTAATTGCTTGTCGACCACGCCCAACGACGGAGAAAATCTGCAAAGCTGCCACGCCGAGTTTCCTGACTTAGTGCAAGCTGACTGAGAGCGAAGAAAGGTGCGCCAAGGGTGCCACAGCCAGCTTTGCAGGTCAGTTATGGCGCTAAAACTTGGACATTCTTTCACGACCTCTGAGAGGCTCTAGTTCTGCTTTACTTCCTCAGCGCTAATGAAAGAACTAGCGTCAGCCATCAAAGCCACCTTAACCACTAAGATAAACCAGTTGGGATGTTTCTTAAACTTCACACGGCTAGTGTAAAAGCTTTTAAAGCGACAGCAATTATATTTGTACTCTCGGCTAAATTTTGCCACCAGCGTCACCATCGGCATTGCCATGAGTCACCGTTTATGTATACGATTCTATTTGTACTAATACGCAAAAGAGAAAAAAAATACATATTCTAGAAAAAGGCTGCGGCGCGCGGAATCGAGCGTCCGACCTATTGCACCTCCTTCGTGGGTACGTACCACTTACCGCTGACGATGGCGATCTCGAGGTAACAATTGTGTTTTCTGCATTAACAGCGAGAGAGCACACTAAGCGTGCTTTGCCAGTTCGTCACGACGCGATGACGCGTACTGATGCGTTCATCTCCTACGCGTACTTTGCCCCGAAGACAGGGTGGTTTAGAGGTTCACACGTGCGCGCGCTTGTCTCGCCGTTGGGAGAATCGGACGTCTCTGTGTCTCACTGGAACGATTATGTTGTATTTACCGGGCGCATGAAGGTCACT